CTCTTTCTATAACCTATCAGGAACTATAGAACTTTTCAAGAACTATAATAAAAATTCATCATTGAAATTCATTTTTCTGAAATTTGAGATGCCACGGGAAATTGGCATCTTATATTTTCAAAAAGCCGTTTTTTTAACTAATTTAGCGGAACTATTGTTATAACCTATCAGGAACTGTAGAACTAGAACAAGTTTCATTTGCGGGTGCAAATGAAACTTGTATAAAAACCTGCGGTGCAGAAAGATGAGGTGCTAACTTCACACACGCCAATTATGTGCTCTTAATATACACTAGTTTAAATTTTACGCATCCTTTACGCCAAAAAACAATTCTAAAACACCTCTGTTAAGTTAAAGCATCTCCTCCCTCCACAAAAAAATCAAAATAGCACCTACGTCAAAATTAAGCTCTTAATTTAATCTAAAATTTGCTCTTTATATGTTAATTATGTGTTCCATTTCCAATTTTTATGCTCGGATCGGATTTAAAAGAAAAAATTGCAATTGAACATGGGGGTGTTGGCTTAATATTAAAATTAATCAAGTTAATACCCCACTATTAAATGCAAAATTTAAAAAATTAGTATAATAAAATTAAAGCTTTTAAGAACATTCAACAGAATTAATGTATTTGTATTAATTTAAAGATAAGTGTAATAATTAAATGATATATCTATATTAGTAAAATTTGATCATTGGAACAAGAGTAAAGAGTGGGGATGCTAACTTAACAAAGATGCTTTAAGGCTGTTTTTCGGTGTAAAGGGTTGCATAATAAAATTTAAACTAGTGTATATTAAGAGCACATAATTAGCATATAATTATTTTTTATTGGACATTCTTCTTCTTAAAACTTAGCATAAAAACGATTTCTTGTTAAACGGCTAAAGCAATAAAATCAGGATTAGCACTAAATTTTAGTATAAGTGATTTATTATTTTTTTTTAATGGACATTCTCTTTCTTAAAAGTTAGCATAAAAACGATTTCTTGCTAAACGGATAGAGCAATAAAATCAGAATTAGATCAATAAATTAACACATAAAAATCACTAAATCCTCCTTTTCAAATGATTGTGCTCATGGTATGCTAGCTTAATCCTAATGAGAAATAATCGCCAATTCAATGTCAAATCGATGTCGATATGGTGATTTCAACGTCAATTTGACGTCGATTCGACATTGAATAGAAGATATTTCTCACTAGGATACAGACATGGAAAACGAACGTATTTAAAATAAAAATATCTAATTATACAATATAAATTAAACAGCAATAAAATTCGAAAGCCAATTAAAAAATTATATTTGTATGCTATGATTACTTATCATTATTCTTTTACTACATTACAATCTTTTTAATTTCATCAAAAATATATATGCAATTATCTTTTCTTTTTTAAATTATAGAATTATAATAACAATAAACAAAATATGGCATAAATAACCGCTCCGTTATTTCGACATATTTTTATCAATATAATAAAACATGAGATACAAAGTGAAAGTGAAATTGAAAAGTGAGATTATTCTCATCGAATAATTAGTAAAAATGTGTTTTATTAATGCAGGTGATTTCTTTTAAGTAAACACAAAAGCTCTAAACTAGTTGAACTACCCAAGAATTTTCACGGCCAAGCAGCAACGTTTAAGCGTCATCAGCAGTGGCCAGTGTCCTCGACTGGTAGGCTCTTTTATTTACTGCCCAGGAATAGCTCTATTCGCACGTGCACGCCATTTGGCTATGGGCCATTTTGCGGCGTGTACATTCACTATCTTGGCTTTTCTTTGTCCTCTTTCGAGAAGGAAGTTCTGACCGGTCAATTTTACCTGAAATTTCGTCACCGTACATAATGGGGATGTGTACGTGATGCGGCAAATGTCGGCAAAATTTCAAAATTATGGAACTGAAGTTAAAAAATGTAACCAGATATTGTAAAAAAAACTATTACATACTGACATCCGCTCTCATAGGCCTTTATTGTACTATGTTTATTGTTTTAATCTCGAGAGCTTATGTAATTATTAAAAAAAAAAATTCCAAGCCGATTAGACTGCAAAAGAATTTTTCTTATATAAAAAAAAACATACATCAGAATTTCTTTTTTTTAATATATTAATAAAACATTTTATGTAAAAATATATACATAGTGGAAAAATAACTTTAGTCACCTAAAATATATTTGCCATTTCTAGAGATATGAAAACATTTTAATTACAAAATGTGTACGGTTATTAAATGGGTTTTAATATGCTAACAATTTTTCTGTAGGTGGAGATGCTTGAAATTTCAAGATCATTTCCAAGTTTTTAAATAGCATGTTTTTATCTTTAGTGCAAATAACGAATGTTCAGGTGATTTTAATGACTTGTAGTACAAAGTCATTTGGCATTAAATAAAGGAGTAAAACAATGATTTTTACATAAAAAATGTTGTCTGTTTACATTAATGCAACATTATAATCATGGAATTCTCGAAGCACGTACACTTCTTATCACTTCCGGACTGATTACAGCACAGTGCTATAGTAAAGTCATTGCTTTATATTTTCTGATATGGTTAATCTTTCAGTGTTCTTTAGGATTGGTACAATGTTCTTCAGTATTTTTTATTTAAAAAATCAAATAGTGTCGGGCGAACGAGCTGGCCACAAAACTGACTCATCACGTTCCATCGATTTACGAATATTTTATTGAGTAAAACTATTTAAGGATATTTTGGCTATACAATCCCAGACAAAAGTAACTGAAATTTGAAATTGATGAAATTCTATGCCTTTATAAGTTAAGATATGTACCATATCATACTCGTATCGTGTAAAGGATTTAAATAATGTCAGTTAATATGATATTTGACACTACAAATGAATATAAGTATTTGTATATTTTACAAGTTTTATGATTGTTGACAAAAAACTTTTGAATGTGAATTTCACCTAAAATCAACTGCAAAAAACGAAAAACATGACACAATGATAACATTTAATGTATATCAAACATCAAAAGATACTTAAATATTCACAAAATATGTAAACAAATGTCATTAACATAATATTTGCCTTTCTAGCACTTTATACAAGTCAAAATAGAATGCCTGATACCGCACTCCACTTTAAGTTGGTACCCCTTGCGATCTCGTAGTTGAATGCAAGGTTAGAATAACAGTGACAAGCACTGAAATATATTTCAGTGGTGACAAGCGTTGCTTTATCAATTAATATTTTGATAACGGGTTAGTGAATCTATATAAACTTTTTTTAGAAACATTGTTTAATATTTTATTTACTCACAAATAAAGTTTCAGAATATTGGCAATGCTGCTTCTTTATCATTTTGTTGATATACAGAAATATGCTACTATTCCATAAGAACTTATGCAAAATTAAAAGTTAAATAACTCATGAACTAGTTAGGCAATCGACTTTTTGCACATGTGTTAAGATAATAAATAAAAACAATTTATTAAATTTTCAAGATATTGTCAATGCTAGAGCGTTAGCGCCAGTACATCCTTAAGTCTGGGTACGCATTGGAAATCAATAATTGCGAATCAAAAATTAGAATTTGATTGATCAGAACCAGGGACCCGGACCGAAAGAAAATTTCAGATCGATGATTTCAATGATTTCTTGAGGTTTTAAGCCTTTCCAATATTGATATTGATCACTACACGAATCGGTTTTTTCCATTTTTTTTAAAACTCAAAAGTTGACTTGTTCAAATGACTGTAACTCACAAACTATTCACTGAAATGTCATAAAATTTTGATAGCGGAGATTTGAAGGAATATATTCGACAGGTATAAGATTAATTTTTGTATATGGTGCTATCTTGTATCCAATTCCGGAAACTTTTCAACTCATGTAGTATATATCATTATATATGTAGCCTGATATTGTGTTTCTTTCTATAGAAACAATTTTACAATACCAGTGTAGTTAGCTTTTATAGAAAATCAGCAAAGAATACTGACGTTTTCTGCCTGCAAGCGTCATATAAATCGTTAAAAATAAAGCTAGTCAGTTTTCTTAATTAATTTTTATCACTATGCATATGTATATTAACTATATACTTTATTGTTAATAGATATGACAAATTTTATAACCTCACTTTCTAACTTTATTTTTAACGATTCATATGACGCTTGCAGACAGAAAGCAGTATATTTTGCCATTTTTCTATAAAAGCTAATTACTGATATTGTAAAATTAATTGTTTCTACGGAAAGCAACGCGATATCAAGCAAATACAAAATTCTAACTAAACTAACCTGATAATAACTTACAAAGTAAATATTGTGATATTTACTGAAACTATAACAAAATCAAAGTGAAAAATATTAATACTTTCTTTTGTTGCACATTATCCACAATTGTAAAGTCAATTTATAGTAAGCTGTCAGTTTATAATAAGTGACATTTATCTTAACAATGCTGCGTTTGCACCGAGTGCCCTCTATCGTGTTATATTTGTTTAATATTCAGTGAATAACAAGGATAAAATAATACATAGAGACAATCGGTGATGTTTCCAAACGCAGCTTGTTGGCCAACTTAACATGAAAAAAGTGAGCCTTATTATTCTTATCCGAAAGAAAAGAAGGCCATAGTATTTATAAATAAATACTGAAAATAAAAATACAAATAATAAGTCACATTACAATTTATGAATCGTTTATTGTGTGTGTATGTTGATTACGGCAGCTTAACTGTAATTTATTCGATGTTATAACAGCTTTTAGTGAACACATGTAAAATTTTGCTGACAGTTAAAAGTAAAAATATTATATAATATTCACATTATTGTTATTTTGAACAATGTACGCACATAAACTACTGTAAATATTGATTATCTTTGAGAATGATTTAAAAAATTCACTATTTCGCAATTATTAGAGAAATTACAGCCTATAATCATCTTTTCCGTATGGTCTAGTTTTAAGTTTATCATCTTCTCCGTATTATTCTAGTTTACCCTACATTGTGTTTTATGAAGTAGTGTTAGTATGCATTTAATAATATAGGTTAAAATTTTGGAATGTAACCCATTACTGGGTAAAAATGGCTGCTATCCCTTCTCCTGAGTTACTCTGCTTCATTTCTCGGAATTGACGATCCAGGGTATATAGAAATCTGTGCGTATAATGTTTTCATATTTTATGCTAGTGTTTTGTTTACAAAATATAATCCGATTATTTTATTGCCAATGATACCACATCAATACATTTACCAATGTCATGCAATTTCTCTTAACTAGTACGGATTTTCAATTGATTAATAACGCATATTACAATATAGTATGCAAGTCTAATAGTGGCGATTGTGGCGCAAGGAGCAGCGCGGCAGCTTTATATAATAAAAATCCGAGTTCAAATCTACCCAGAATAATACTCTGAAATCGATTTTAATCGATTCGGAAGCGATCGCCGCTTCTCGGAAGGCAACGGCAAACCACCGAAAGTATCTTTGCTAAGAGAACCTCTTCTTAAAAAATTACCGCCATTCGAAACCGACGTTAAACTGTAGGTCCCGTATATCTGCGTAAAAGTGTAAATAGCGCACATTACAGAAATACGAAGGAGAAGTCACCATGCTCTGACAAGAGTAGGACTGAGAGAGAGAGATGCAAGTTTACATGACATAATTAGAAAAGTTTACATTATCGGTAAATAATCTTAACAAAAAAAATTTAGTCTTGATATACACGTGTGATCCATTTTAATTGCTTCAGGCGAATAACTCAAAAACTATGACAGATACAAAAAATGTTTTAAACAAAAGTTGTTTGTCTTCAAGGGAGAAATAAAATGGTACCATTGGTTTGACCTTGGGTGACACTGTCGAGGTCAGGGAAAGGTCACTTCAAATTTTTTAAATAAAACCCTCAATTTTTTATTGCATATTCTTGTAGCTTATCTCGAGAGCTTTCCAAAACACATAGATAAAATATTTTTTTATTAAGTAAATCTTGAGTTATGAAGCTTGAAAGTTGCAATACCGTCGGCACTAACATTATCCAAGGTATCCGAACACTGGCTAAAACTTTTTGAATGTTGTTAAAGATCATGACCTTGACAACATATGTCAAGATCAAGGTCATTAATGTTGTTGCTTTTATTTTCATTTTTTAAAATTGTTTATTTTTTGAAAAAAAAAAAGAGAAACAATCTCTATGACTTTCACATGTTTTATCAAGGTTATAATCCTGAACAACATTCAAAAGGTTTTAGCCAATGTTCGAACACCTTAGATAATGCTAATGCCGAGGGGTAAACCGCTAAAGGCATTGCAGTGTACAGATTTGAGGCATGCTAGGTATTACTAGGACTATTACGTTTTATTTTTAAACAATTGACAATTGTTTTATGTCAAACACACATTTACAACACGTAATAAAATGTGAATATTAAATAAATTACGCTAAATAATAAGATTGCTTTCTCACAATGTTATCCGTGGGGCATTACCTCCGGCATTACTAGGTATTGGTGTACACAATTTTGGTTAGCGGTTTACCCCTCGGCTAATACCGACAGTACTGCAACTTTCAAGCTTCATAACTCAAGATTTACTTAATCAAAAAATATTTTACTTATGTGTTTTGGAAAGTTTTCGAGATAAGTTACAAAAATATGCAATAAAAAATAGATTCCATTAAAAAAATTTGAAGTAATCTTTTCCTGACATTGGCTGTTCCACCCAAGGTACCAATGGTACCATTTTATGTCCCCCTTGAAGTCAAACAACTTTTGTTTGAAACATTTTTTTTGTATCTGTCATAGTTTTGAGTTATTCGCCTGGAGCGATTAAAATGGATCACCCTGTACATTTGATGCTGAATCCATTAACACAGTTTTCAAAATCTATATTGTAATTCTTGGTAGAGAAATCAAGCGACGCGGTAGCGGCGCG